TTCCATCGTAGCTTAATATACACTAAAGCGAGACACTGAAGATGTCCTGATGGAGACATTACTCTCCCGAGAACACACCGTTTTGGTCCTAAACCTAATATTACTTCCAACTGATCCTATACATGCAAGCCTCCACAATCCAGTGCATATAGCCCACCTAACACGGAGCAGATATCAGGCACACAACACGTAGCCCACAACATCTAGCCATGCCACACCCCCACGGAACACAGCAGTAACAAACATTAAGCCATGAGCCCCAATATTTCAAGCTCGACTCAGATACAGACCCCCTAGAACCGGTAAACTCCGTGCCAGCCACCGCGGTTACACGAAGGGTCCAAAATAATACTACACGGCGTAAAACGTGACTAGAAGCAAGTTTTAAGTACGGAACCTCAACTAAGACCCAGCTGTAAAACGCACCTATCCAAAAGAACATCCCACACTCCCACCAAAAATCACCTTTGACCACACGAAACCTAAGAAACAAACTAGGATTAGATACCCTACTATGCTTAGACATAAACCCAGGCAGAACACCTACTACACTGCCCGCCAGAGAATTACACGCCCCCCAGCGTAAAACTCAAAGGACTTGACGGTGTCCCATATCGACCTAGAGGAGCCTGTCCTATAATCGATGATCCACGATACACCTCACCCCCCATTGCACCCTCTCAACCTATATACCGCCGTCGCCAGCCTACCTTCTGAAAGCCAAACAACAGTAAGCACAATAGCTCATCACTAACACGTCAGGTCAAGGTGTAGTTAATTGCGGGGCAGAGATGGGCTACATTTCCTAATTTAGGAGACCATAAGCAACATGAAACATCGGCCAAAAGACGGATTTAGCAGTAAACTGGGCAAGATCGCCCAATTGAAGGCCGCCCTGGGACGCGTACACACCGCCCGTCACCCTCCTCAACCAAACCAACCAAATCTACCTAAACCCCCATTATTAGACCCAGATGAGGCAAGTCGTAACATGGTAAGTGTACTGGAAAGTGCACTTGGCACAACCAAGACGTAGCTTATCTCCTTAAAGCACCCAACTTACAATTGAACGATGTCTATAAAGACCCTCTTGAGCCAAATTAGCCCAGCCTACCCAACACAACAAAAACGTATCTCAAACAAACTAAACCATTCGACACATGAAGTATATGCGATAGAACCACGCCCTAAGCGCGATAGCAAACTGTACCACAAGGGAACAATGAAAGATTAACTAAAATTTAAGCACATTACAGCAGGAATGCCATCCCGTACCTTCTGCATCATGGTTTAGCAAGCAAACTGCTGAAAAAGAGACCTGAATCTGCCACCCCGAAACCAGACGAGCTACCTAAAAGCAATTATTAAGAATGAACCCAGCCCTGTTGCAAAAGAGCGGGACGACTCTTAGGTAGAGGCGAAATACCAACCGAGCCTGGTGATAGCTGGTTACTCGCTAAATGAACCTCAGTTCAACTCTAGTAACAACAAACAACTTCAACCGTACACTAGAAGATATACAATAAGGGTACAGCTTTATTGTACTTGGAGCCAACCAAAACTAGTGGGACACCCAAATCAATTAATCAGTGGGCCTTTAAGCCGCCAACAACAATTAATGCGTCAAAGCATACAATACACCAATAAAACAGACCCATTCGACCCCCTAGCCTCTTACCGAGTCACTCTACGCACAAATAGAGGCGCCCCTGCTAAAACTAGTAATATGATATAACTCTCCCCGCATACCCTTACATCAACACGGACAAACCATTGACAGTTAACAGACCAAAAGCGACATAGAACTACAACTAGAGCATCTACCACAAACACTGTTACCCCAACACAGGCATGCACGCAAGAACGATAAAAAGTCCTAAAAGGAACTCGGCTAACCTCGTCCCACCTGTTTACCAAAAACACGGCCTTTAGCCTCCAACCAGTATTAAAGGTCCTGCCTGCCCAGTGAACTTCTTTAACGGCCGCGGTATCATAACCGTGCAAAGGTAGCGTAATCACTTGTCTCCTAAATAGAGACCCGTATGAAAGGCTAAATGAGGACGCACCTGTCTCCTTGGACCAGTCAATGAAACTGATCTGCCAGTACAAAAGCTGACATACACACATAAGACGAGAAGACCCTGTGGAGCTTTTAAACCCAAACACTACCCAACCACACCCAATCATCTAAGGACACCACATGGCCCCACTCACGATAGTGCCAATTTTAAGTTGGGGCGACTACGGAATATAACAAAACTTCCACGACACAGGCTAAAACCCACCCACGACAGACAAGTCAACGGAAAATACAATTGACCCAGTATACTGACTAACGAACCAAGTTACCCCAGGGATAACAGCGCTATCCCCTTCAAGAGTCCATATCGCCAAGGGGGCTTACGACCTCGATGTTGGATCAGGACACCCAGGCGGTGCAGCCGCTGCCAAAGGTTCGTTTGTTCAACGATTAAAGTCCTACGTGATCTGAGTTCAGACCGGAGAAATCCAGGTCGGTTTCTATCTATGCTATAATTTCTTCAGTACGAAAGGACCAATGAAACTAACGCCCATATTAATCCAACACGCGTTACACAACATCATGCTGAACTTATATAAAGACCACTAACACACTGAACCCTAGACCAGGGAAATCACTTTTAGGGTGGCAGAGACAGGTAATTTGCGGGGGGCCTAAGTTTCCCTTACAGAAGTTCAAATCCTCTCCCTAAACATGTTAAAACTCATAAACCACCTACTAAACCCACTAACAGTGGTAATCCCAATTCTTTTAGCCGTAGCTTTCCTCACCCTCCTCGAACGAAAAGTATTAGGATACATACAGCTCCGAAAAGGACCAAACATTATTGGCCCAGCCGGCCTCCTTCAGCCAATTGCAGATGGTGTCAAATTATTTATTAAAGAACCACTACGACCAACAACTTCTTCCATAACACTTTTCATTGCAATACCAACCCTCGCACTTTTACTCGCACTTCTCATCTGAGCCCCCCTACCCATGCCAAAGCCTCTCCTAGAACTTAACCTCGGACTGCTAATAATTCTGGCAATTTCAAGCCTGTCCGTATACTCCCTTCTATGATCAGGCTGGGCCTCCAATTCAAAGTACGCACTAATTGGCGCACTCCGCGCCGTAGCCCAAACAATTTCATACGAAGTAACCCTAGGCATTATTTTATTATCACTGATTGCTCTAACAGGGGGCTTCACCATACAAATATTTTTAATCACACAAGAATCAACCTGACTAATTACCTGCTCGTGACCTCTGATAATAATATGATACATCTCAACCATCGCAGAAACCAACCGTGCCCCATTTGACCTTACAGAAGGTGAATCTGAACTCGTATCAGGATTTAACGTTGAATACGCAGCTGGACCATTCGCACTATTCTTTCTAGCCGAATACGCAAACATTATTATAATAAACACCCTAACATGCATTATATTTCTTTGCCCAAATAGCACATCAGAACTATTTACCACCAACCTTGCAACCAAAATACTACTACTTACACTCGGGTTCCTATGAACCCGTGCCTCATACCCACGATTTCGCTACGACCAACTAATGCACCTCCTATGGAAAAACTTTCTTCCACTTACTCTTGCTCTATGCTTATGACACATTTCAGCCCCTATTGCCCTATCAGGCATCCCACCACTTACCTAAACAAAAGGAAGTGTGCCCGAACAGCCACAAGGACTACTTTGATAGAGTAGAACACAGAGGTTAAACCCCTCTCATTTCCTAGACATCTGGGCCACGAACCCAAACCTCAAGGCTCAAAACCTTGCGTACTGCCAAATTATACGAATCTCTAGTAAAGTCAGCTAATAAAGCTTTTGGGCCCATACCCCAACAATGTTGGTTTAAACCCCTCCTCTACTAATTAGCCCACTAATCTGATCACTATTAATTACAAGCCTAGCAACAAGCACAATCATCACCATATCAAGCCACCACTGACTATTAGCCTGAGTAGGACTAGAATTAAACACCTTAAGCATCCTACCAGTTATCATCAAATCACACCACCCCCGAGCAACGGAAGCCGCAACAAAATACTTCCTCATTCAGGCCGCAGCTGCTGCATTAATCCTCCTAGCAAGCACTCTTAACGCTTGACAAACGGGTCATTGATCAATTATACACACCTCAGCCCATACAACAACCATCATCACATTAGCAATTTTACTTAAACTAGGCATCGCCCCAATACATGGGTGGTACCCAGAAGTATTACAAGGCTCAACCATAAACACAGCCCTAATTATCTCCACTTGACAAAAACTTGCCCCCCTTACCCTATTATACCTAATCAACAACAACCCACCCACCAATATCTTACTCCTGATAGGAGTGATCTCCGCCTTAGCCGGAGGCTGAATTGGATTAAATCAGACACAAACACGAAAAATCATAGCATTTTCATCAATCGCACACATAGGATGATTAATTATCACACTAAACCTAAGCCTACACCTCACCACAACAACTATAATAATCTACATAATCACAACAACAGCCATATTTATGTCATTAAACACAACAACAACAAAAACAATAACAGACATGGGCATAGCATGAACCCAATCGCCACCCCTCACTACCATAATAATAATCACACTAATATCGCTAGGCGGACTTCCCCCCCTCACCGGCTTCACCCCCAAGTGACTAATCCTCAATAACCTGTGCCACATAAATTTACTCTTTCCAACCATTATCCTAGCCATAGCAAGCCTACCAAGCCTATTCTTTTACATCCGACTCGCATACTTCACCACACTCACCACACCCCCAAATACCACAAACACCCACCACAAGTGGCGATTCAAGCCCCCACTAATTGCAGGACTGACACCCGCCACATCACTAGCAGCACTACTCCTTCCACTTATGCCAATAATAATTTCATAGAAATTTAGGTTACCTCATTTAAACCAGAAGCCTTCAAAGCTCCAAACGGGAAACACATCCCAATTTCTGAAGGTCTGTATAATCTTAAAATACATCTTCTGACTGCAACTCAGGCGCTTTAATTAAGCTAACACCTCGCTAGATCAGCAGGCCTTGATCCTACAATAGATTAGTTAACAACTAAACACCCAAGCCAGCGGGCTTTAACCTAGGCTTCCCCCGTTAGGGGAATAACGGGGGAAGCCCCGGCACCTTTTTAGGGTGCCTCTCTAAATTTGCACTTTAGTGTGCGCTCACCGCGGGACTGCAGTAGGAGGACTCTCACCTCCGTAGGTGAGTCTACAGCTCACCGCCTCACTCGGCCATCCTACCTGTGATATTCACCCGTTGATTTCTCTCAACAAACCATAAGGATATCGGCACCCTCTATTTACTGTTTGGTGTCTGGGCCGGCATGGTCGGCACCGCATTAAGTCTTCTTATTCGCGCTGAACTGAGTCAGCCCGGTGCCCTCCTCGGCGACGATCAGATTTACAACGTCATTGTCACCGCCCACGCATTCGTAATAATTTTTTTTATAGTAATACCGGTCATGATCGGCGGCTTCGGTAATTGACTCGTACCCCTTATAATCGGCGCACCTGACATGGCCTTCCCACGAATAAACAACATAAGCTTCTGACTTCTGCCCCCCTCTCTACTACTTCTACTCGCCTCCTCTGGAGTGGAGGCCGGCGCTGGCACCGGTTGGACTGTATACCCCCCACTCGCAGCAAACCTCGCACACGCCGGCGCCTCCGTCGACCTCGTTATCTTTTCATTGCATTTGGCCGGGGTCTCGTCAATTCTTGGTGCAATCAACTTCATTACCACCTGTATTAATATAAAATCCACACCTATAACACAATACAACACGCCCCTGTTTATTTGATCAGTTCTAATCACTGCCGTACTACTCTTGCTCGCTTTGCCAGTATTAGCGGCCGGAATTACCATACTTCTAACCGATCGTAATCTCAACACCACTTTTTTTGATCCAGCTGGGGGCGGCGACCCCGTACTGTATCAACATCTATTTTGATTCTTCGGTCACCCAGAGGTATATATTTTAATTCTCCCCGGTTTCGGCATAGTATCTCATATTATCACATATTATGCAGGGAAAAAGGAGCCCTTCGGCTACATAGGAATGGTCTGAGCCATGATATCAATTGGCTTTTTAGGCTTTATCGTATGGGCCCACCACATATTTACCGTAGGCATAGATGTGGACACACGGGCCTATTTTACCTCTGCAACAATAATTATCGCAATCCCAACAGGGGTAAAAGTGTTTAGCTGACTAGCCACTCTGCATGGGGGCATAATCAAATGGGACACCCCCCTATTATGAGCAATGGGTTTTATCTTCCTCTTCACTGTGGGCGGACTTACTGGAGTTATCCTAGCCAACTCATCATTGGACATCGTCCTACACGACACCTACTATGTAGTTGCACACTTTCACTATGTCCTATCAATAGGCGCTGTGTTTGCTATCATGGGGGGCTTTGTACATTGATTTCCACTATTTACAGGATTTTCACTTCACCCAACATGAACAAAGGTCCACTTCGGATTAATGTTTATTGGCGTCAACCTCACATTTTTCCCACAACATTTCCTAGGTCTCGCCGGCATACCACGACGATATTCGGACTACCCAGATGCTTACACATTATGAAACGCTGCCTCCTCAGTTGGCTCCTTAATCTCTATAGCAGGAGCAATAATCATAACCTTTATTATCTGGGAGGCACTAACTGCCAAGCGCACTCCAACACCCACAACACTTGTATCCTCAAACCCAGAGTGACTATACGGCTGCCCACCGCCATACCACACCCATGAAGAACCAATCTTAACCCACACACCTCTTAAAAGATGGGGGACTCGAACCCCCTCCAACTAGTTTCAAGCTAGCCATACACCCGGTATTAGTACTAATCTTTTTACATGGCCCTAGTAAAAATTACATAGCTCTGTCAGTGCTAAATTATAGGCTCATGCCTTTGCGCCATTATGGCCCACCCCTCCCAACTTGGATTTCAGGACGCTGCCTCCCCTATTATAGAGGAACTGTTACACCTCCATGACCATGCAATAATAGTAGTCTTCCTTATTAGCATCTTCGTTCTTTACATTATTACCCTAATGATCACCACTTCACTCACACACACCAGCACCATAGACGCACAAGCAGTCGAAACAATCTGAACGATTTTACCCGCAATTATTTTAATCTTAATCGCCCTGCCCTCTCTCCGAATTCTTTACCTAATAGATGAAATTAACGACCCCCACCTCACAATCAAAACTATCGGCCATCAATGATACTGAAGCTACGAATACACAGATTACGAAGGCTTAATATTTGATGCCTACATAGTACAAACCCAGGAACTCCCAGAGGGCACACCACGGCTCCTCGAAACAGATCATCACATAGTTGTACCAACAGACTCACCAACACGAATACTGATCTCAGCAGAGGACGTCCTACACTCCTGAGCTGTTCCAGCACTTGGAATTAAAACCGACGCCATCCCCGGCCGATTAAACCAAACTACCTTTACAACATCGCACCCTGGGCTATTTTATGGCCAATGCTCAGAAATCTGCGGCTCAAACCACAGCTTTATACCCATCGTAATTGAATCATCAACATTAAATAGTTTTGAAACCTGATCGAACCTAATACTTGAGCCCTACTTTGAAGTAGCTGTATATTTAGCGCTGGCCTTTTAAGCCAGAGATGGACGACTGTCCCTCATAGAACCATGCCACAACTCAACCCAGCCCCCTGATTCACCATCCTTATAATCACATGAGCTCTCGCTGCTGTCCTACTTAAACTAATTGCCCCTATACAAAACACTGCCACACCCACCAAGCAAACACTATTATACAAGCCCCATACTTGAATATGAACATGACTATAAATCTTTTTGACCAATTCTCAAGCCCACAAATACTAGGCATGCCACTAATTATTATTGCTATAGCCATACCAACCATAATTTTTTTCCCGCCTATGCGCCTTATTACCAATCGCACCTCCGCAATGCAAAACTGACTAATACTGAAATTTACCAAACAACTAATAAGCCCCCTCAACAAGCCCGGACACAGCTGAGCCCTGCCGCTCCTTTTAATTATATACACCCTACTACTAATCAACCTGCTAGGACTACTGCCATATACCTTCACCCCCACAACACAACTATCTATAAATATAGCACTAGCACTACCACTATGACTAACAACCGTATTAATTGGCCTACGCAATCAGCCTGCCGCATCTCTTGCCCACATACTTCCCGTAGGCACACCAACACCACTTATTCCAATTCTCATTACCATTGAGACAGTAAGCCTACTAATCCGCCCGCTGGCGCTCGGTATCCGGTTAACTGCAAACTTAACAGCCGGACACTTACTAATTACACTGATTTCAACTGCCACACTAACCCTCTTTCCAACAATGCCGCTAGTTAGCCTACTCACCCTCACACTACTGCTACTGCTAACCGCCCTAGAAATTGCAGTAGCAATAATCCAAGCTTACGTGTTCACCTTACTATTGAGTCTATACTTACAAGAAAACACCTAATGACCCACCAAGCCCATAGCTACCACATAGTCGACCCAAGCCCTTGACCACTAACAGGCGCAATAGCAGCACTTTTAATGACTTCTGGGCTGGCAGTATGATTTCATTATAACTCCACAACCCTAATAACCCTAGGACTTGCCACAATGCTTCTTACAACATATCAGTGATGACGTGATATTGTCCGCGAGGGCTCATTCCAAGGACATCATACTAAGCTAGTCCAAAAAGGACTACGATACGGCATGATATTATTTATTACATCTGAAGTCTTTTTCTTTATCGGTTTCTTCTGAGCCTTTTACCACTCAAGTCTCGCACCTGCTCCCGAGCTGGGCGGCCAATGGCCGCCAAGCGGTGTCAGCCCACTCAACCCATTTGAAGTACCGCTACTAAACACTGCAGTACTACTAGCATCCGGCGTAACAATCACCTGGGCCCATCATGCTATAATAGAGGGCAATTGAAAAGAAACAACACAAGGACTAACACTAACCGTTCTTCTCGGGGCCTATTTTACCCTACTACAGGCTATAGAGTACTTTGAGGCCCCCTTCACTATTGCTGATGCAACATACGGGGCAACCTTTTTTGTTGCAACAGGCTTTCACGGCCTACATGTCATCATTGGCTCATCGTTTCTCCTAATCTGCTTAACACGACAAATTAACTATCACTTTACAACCGACCATCACTTTGGCTTCGAAGCAGCTGCATGATATTGACACTTTGTAGATGTTGTCTGACTGTTCTTATACATCTCAATTTATTGATGAGGCTCATAATTTTTCTAGTATATTGTACAAGTGATTTCCACTCACTAAGTCTTAGGCCCCCCTAAGGAAAAATAATGCTAACAACAACTTTTATATTAATCTTCTTATTAACCGCAATTCTTATTTTCCTTAGTTTTTGACTCCCCCAAACGAACCCGGATACAGAAAAACTTTCGCCTTACGAATGCGGCTTTGACCCCCTAGGAAGTGCCCGCCTCCCCTTCTCATTACGCTTCTTCCTTGTTGCAATCCTATTTCTACTGTTTGACCTAGAAATTGCTCTTCTCCTCCCACTCCCTTGGGCAATCAGCACATCCCCAGGCAGCACAATACTTTGAACCACAATAATTATTATACTATTAACACTAGGCCTCGCATATGAATGATTGCAAGGGGGCCTAGAATGAGCAGAATACGGTGGCTAGTTTAACTAAAATCCCTAATTTCGACTTAGCCGATCCCTTTGGAGGGGCCACCAAATATGACCGTTGTCCATTTTACTACCGCAGGCACATTTATACTAAGCATCACCGGCTTAGCGCTACACCGCACACATCTTGTCTCTGCCTTACTATGCATCGAAGGCATAATACTAGCACTATTCTCAGCACTGGCGGTTAGCTATCAAACACCAATCCACACCAACACGTCATTACAACCAATCATTATACTCGCACTTGCCGCATGCGGAGCGGGCGCAGGACTAAGTCTACTTGTGGCATCTACACGAACCCACGCTTCTGACCACCTTCACAACCTTAGCCTACTAAAATGTTAAAAATCCTTCTTGCAACTGCTATACTAATCCCCACCGCACTACTAATTAAGCCAAAACACCTATTTACCACCACATCAGCATACGCTATACTTATTACATTTCTAATACTTAAATGGTTTGAACAACCACTTAACCATAAACCGCATTCAACCAACACACTAATAATACTAGATAATATTACTACACCCTTAACAACTATGTCTGCCTGAATCCTACCACTTATAATTATCGCAAGTCAACACCACCTAGTCACAGAGCCTGTCAACCGAAAACGTATATTTCTCGCAACCTGCGCCACACTACAGACAACCCTAATTATAACATTCACCACAACAGATCTCACCATATTCTATATTATGTTTGAAATAACCCTTGTGCCAACCTTGATCCTAATCACACGCTGAGGTAGCCAGGCCGAACGGCTTAACGCAGGAATATACTTCCTATTCTACACCCTGACAGGCTCCCTCCCATTACTAATCGCTATCTTACATCTATATGTCAGCAATGGACACACAACAATGTTATTGCTCGCAATACAAAATACACTAACCCCAAATATAACCATAATCATATGACTTGCCTGTATAATGGCATTCATAGTAAAAATACCACTTTACGGCCTCCACCTCTGACTTCCAAAAGCGCACGTAGAAGCACCAATTGCAGGGTCTATAATCTTGGCCGCTGTACTTCTAAAATTGGGCGGCTATGGGATCATCCGGATGATCCCACTAGCGCCCCAAATAACACAAACCATATATTTTCCCTTTATTGTTTTAAGCCTATGAGGTATAATCATAACAAGTCTAATCTGCCTACGACAAACAGACCTAAAATCAATTATCGCCTACTCCTCTGTCAGTCACATAGGCCTTGTAATTGCCGCAACCCTCATTAATACCCCATGGAGCACGGCCGGGGCAATAATTCTCATAATTGCCCATGGGCTAACTTCCTCACTACTGTTTTGCCTTGCAAACACCAACTATGAGCGCACACATACACGCACCCTACTATTAACTCAGGGCCTATTATTTATCCTACCACTTATAACAATGTGATGATTAGTCGCCAGTCTTATAAACATGGCCCTTCCACCAACAATCAACCTTCTAGGAGAATTAATAATCCTTAGCTCCCTATTTAACTGAAACACAACAACAATCATTTTAACTGCTACAACAACACTTATCACCGCAACTTATTCACTGTACATTTTTATCACAACACAACGCGGCACCCCCTTACCCAACAAAGTCCTAACCCCCACACACACGCGTGAGCATCTATTAATAACCCTACACCTGGTTCCACTTACTTTGCTTATCACCAACCCAGCACTAATATTTTAGTACACATAGTTTAATACAAAACGCTAAATTGTGGATTTAGAATTAGGGGCCCCAACCCCCTTTTATACCCGAAGAGGTCCTATCATAGAACTGCTAACTCCTTGATCCAAAATTAAACCTTTGGCCCCTTCCACTTTCAAAGGATAGCAGTAGTCCACTAGTCTTAGGCGCTAACAACCCTTGGTGCAACTCCAAGTGAAAGTATATGGCCAACCTACTATTCCATGCAACTCTAATTACAACAGCCATCGTCCTAACTACCCCCCTTCTTTTTTCCCATAGCCCCAACACAACCAATATCACAGCAACCATAAAACTTGCAACAATAATCAGTACCTTACCATTAATCCTCTTCACCAGCACTGGCATACAATCCATTACAACAAATCTTAATTGAATTAACATGAACTTCAACCTTCAAATCAGCTTCACATTCGACACTTACGCAGTACTATTCCTTCCAGTGGCCCTGCTTATCACCTGGTCAATTTTAGAGTTTACAAACTGATACATAGCCTCAGACCCAAACCACTACAAATTTTCAAAATACCTACTACTATTCTTAATTGCAATACTAACCCTCACCACCGCTAATAATATACTTCAACTATTCATCGGCTGAGAAGGCGTTGGTATTATATCATTCCTTCTAATCAGCTGATGACACGCACGAACTAACGCCAATACCGCAGCCCTACAAGCAATCATCTATAATCGCATCGGTGACATTGGACTTATTCTGTCAATTACATGACTAGCTATAAACTTCGACACATGAGAAATACAACAAATATTTGCTCACACAACCGTGCCGTCCGCCCCATTACTCGGACTTATTCTTGCCGCAGCCGGCAAATCAGCCCAATTCGGATTACACCCATGGCTGCCCGCAGCCATGGAGGGCCCCACCCCAGTATCAGCACTATTGCACTCAAGCACAATAGTCGTAGCAGGTGTATTCCTGCTAATTCGCTTCCACCCCCTCCTGGAAGCGAATCCGCTTGCTCTTTCATCCTGTCTCTGCCTCGGCGCACTCACTACGACATTTGCTGCCTTGTGTGCACTCACTCAAAACGACATTAAAAAAATCATCGCCTTTTCTACAACCAGCCAACTGGGTCTAATAATACTAACTATCGGGCTAAACCAGCCAGAACTAGCCTTCCTACATATCACAACACACGCGTTCTTCAAGGCCATGTTATTTCTTTGCTCTGGGTCCATTATCCACAACCTAAACGACGAGCAAGACATCCGAAAAATAGGCGGGGTACAAAAAACAATACCCATCACAACCTCCTGCACAACATTAGGCAGCCTAGCACTCATAGGAACTCCATTCTTAGCGGGCTTCTACACAAAAGATTTAATTATTGAGACAATAAACACCTCAGCCCTCAACGCCTGAGCCCTATTAACCACAGTCGCAGCAACTGCACTAACCGCTGCATATAGCCTACGACTAGTATTTTATGTCCAACTTGACACCCCACGCTATCTCTCCTGAAATCGCCCCAACGAAGCCCACTCGTGCCAAGTAGCCCCAATCCTTCGCCTGGCAGCTGGCAGCATCCTAGCGGGCCTACTAGTGACCTCAATTATCCTGCCTAATAAAACCCAAATTATAACCATAACAACAATTACAAAACTCTGCGCCAGCATGGTCACTCTACTAGGACTCATCTGCGCACTAGATCTAACCTGACAAACCACTCAAATAAAACCCCAAAACAAGACTATTAGCCACACAACACTAACGCAACTAATATTCTTTAATACCCTTTCACACCGCACCTCACCAAAAATAAGCCTGACACTAGCCCAATTATCCCTACTATCAAACGACACACTATGATATGAAACCGTTGGGCCCACAACAGTAAAAAAAACTAACATAGCCCTCGCAAACAAACTATCCTCAACAAACTCAGCTACAATCAAAACCTATCTAATAACCTTCATCACTACCTCAGCTGCCACCCTACTTTGACTCAAACTCTACGGCACACGCAGGCCTCCCCGTGCACGTCCACGTGTTAACTCCAAAACTACAAACAACGCCAACAACAACCCCCAACCAGACAATAATAACAACCATCCGCCCATTGAAAATAGCAACACCACTCCACTAAAATCGCCCCGCAAACTAAAAAACCCAGCCGCATCTACACCAGACTCAACAAATAACTCCATGAAACACCACCCAACTAACAACACCAATAACACATACCCCAACACATGTATCAAGACAGAATGATTGACCCAGGCCTCAGGATAAGGCTCTGCAGCTAGCGCCACAGAATAAGCAACAACTACAAGCATCCCACCAAGATAAATTAAAAGCAAGACAATCCCAATATATGATCCACCAAGCCCCACTAAAACACCACAACAACCCAATGCACCAAACACTAATGCCACCGCCCCAAAAAATGGGGCGGGATTAGCAGCCACACCAAGGACCCCTAAAACAAAACAAACAGAAAATAAAAAAATCAAATATATCATACTATTTCTACTTGGATTACAATTTCACCAAGACCTGTGGTCCGAAAAACCACTGTTGCTATTCAACTACAAAAACCTCTAATGACCCCCATCCGAAAATCGCACCCCATACTAAAAATTATTAATAAATCATTCATTGACCTTCCAACCCCATCAAACATCACTGCATGGTGAAATTTTGGCTCACTTCTAGGAATCTGCCTACTAGTACAAATCCTAACTGGCATATTCCTTGCTATACACTACACCGCAAACACAAGCCTTGCATTCCCCTCTATAGCACACATCTGCCGAGACGTCCAATACGGCTGACTTATTCGAAACTTACACGCCAATGGCGCCTCCTTATTCTTTATCTGCCTTTACCTGCACATTGGGCGGGGCCTATACTATGGCTCCTACTTATATAAAGAAACATGGAACATTGGTATCCTTCTACTATTCCTAGTTATAGCAACAGCCTTCGTGGGCTACGTACTGCCATGAGGACAAATATCTTTTTGAGGGGCCACAGTAATCACAAACCTCCTCTCCGCAATCCCATACATTGGCACAACGTTGGTACAGTGAATCTGGGGAGGGTTTTCCGTAGACAATGCAACACTCACGCGCTTCTTCACATTTCACTTCCTCTTGCCCTTCGCCGTCCTAGCCATAGTAATACTGCACCTCCTGTATCTTCACGAGACAGGATCTAATAATCCCGCAGGTTTAAACTCCAACCCAGATAAAATTCCATTCCACCCATACTTCTCATACAAAGACCTATTAGGCGCAGCACTAATAATCACCCTTCTACTCTACTTAGCCCTTCTCCAACCACAACTACTTGGTGACCCAGAAAACTTCACCCCCGCAAACCCCTTAGTAACACCCCCCCACATCAAACCAGAATGATACTTCCTATTTGCCTACGCAATCCTCCGCTCAATCCCAAACAAGCTTGGGGGAGTCATAGCCCTAATCTTATCAATCGCCATTCTACTTATCTTCCCACTAACCCACAACGCAAAACAACGAAGCAATATATTCCGGCCGCTCGCACAACTAATATTTTGAGCCCTCACAACTAATATCCTTATCCTAACCTGAATCGGAGGGCAACCAGTCGAAGACCCATTCATTTTCATCGGCCAGATCGCGTCCATCAACTATTTCGCACTCATTCTCCTACTACTCCCCATGAGCAATAAATTAGAAAATCAACTCATAAACCACTAGTTTTAGTAGCTTAAACACCAAAGCACTGACCTTGTAAGTCAGAGACGGGCAAACGTGCCCCTAAATCAAAAAAAAGATGGCAAAACTTATCTCTAGTCCCCAAAACTAGTATTTTAATTAAACTATTTTTTGCCGCCGAAGGAATGTCCTAAAACACTATAGATATACATACTCTATGTATATCGTGCATATAGCGATTTTCCTCATGAATATTATATAAGTACATTATATTAATGCTAGAGGATATACTATGTATATCGTGCATTCATCTATTTTCCTCATGAATATCCAATACACCAAACAGTGCTTAATCACCATTTACATACAGTGCAATAAGCAAGGATTTGTAAATGAATGTTATTCGGACATGTTTAAGGCTTAACTCTGACATAGCACGTGAAACCATCAACCCGCCCACCCGGACACAACCGTTACAGGCGTCAGGCCCATTAATTGCATCGTAACCCACAAGACTTTTTCCAAGACCTCTGGCTCCTATCTCAGGGCCATTGATTGTGAGGTAACACACAAGACTTTTTCCAAGACCTCTGGTTTGTGGGGTTGCTACCCTTAACTCATACCCATAGCTACCCTGGTTTTTCAGACAGCTGGTAGTTTTTTAATTTTTTTTATGTGGTCTCAGTCCCACTAGCCGGCAGCGCGGTGCGAGAGCACAATTATACTTGTACGCTGAACCCACGGTGTTATCCTTATATCACACCTAACACAGGCAGGGGCATATTCATTCATGCTCGATGGACATATTTTTATACCCTCTGTGCCCAACCAAAAATTTTTGCCTAAAAAAACAGAATTTTTTCTTGTCTCACAGTCCTACTTTAGCGGTTCAACAGAGTTTTCACCGCATCCACCCAGCAGCCCACATAAAACACACGCAAACAACACACACAAGCACACACAAACACATACATACGCACGCATCATGTACGCACGCATCATGTACGCACGCATCATGTACGCACGCATCATGTACGCACGCGCGTTTCTGCGGCAAACCCCCCTTACCCCCCACTAAGCAGATTCCGGTGCAATTAAATTTGCTCTCGCCAAACCCCTAAAACGAGATTTAACTACACCCTTTTCAAACTTAGCCTGAGACCCTAGATCCACCGTACTTATTACGATAGCCGAATCTCAGCAGCCGAACCCACCCAACGCATGTACAAAGATGTGTACAACACACATACATTGCACATATAAATTAATTATATTAATTTAATAGCGCATGTACAAAGATGTGTACAACACACATACATTGCACATATAAATTAATTATATTAAACAG